GCTATCTAGCGGATAAGTGTTACCAAAACGTACTGCGCTATCCACCGGATAGAGATTTATCCGGTGTATAGCGTTATCCATTCTTCGAACAACCGGGGCCTGATCTCGGCAAAAACTTGAAGCCACACCTTACCATCTAGAGACCCTCACCCTCGGCTGTCTCTTTCGCACCAAGTGTACGCCTACCACCGCATTTTCTGGGTTTCTGATCATGAAAGTGAGAATTTTACGTGCCTGTGTAAGGTTTAGCAGAACCTAACGCGCATAATCTGCATCAAACAACCTTTGCAAATAATTCGGGTGGGAAAGGAAAGAACATTTTTTGTACTTGACATTTCACCACATTCTTAGAATCAACAGCTTGAAAAATTAACTCACCTTTTCACCTCGTGGAGCGGCCTTAGGAATGGTTTTAACCGGAGCTAACTGCATTATCAAGCACAAGAGAGTCAGCAGGTTAGGCCGCAGCCATGAAAAAAGATACCAAGTTAGGCTGAGATGCATCATGGCACAAATATCTTTTAAATATATCGGGAAGCATAAGAATTAGCAGGTTAGGCTACAGCCATAATAGCAGATACTGAGTTAGGCTGAGACGCACCATCGCATAAATATTATCCGCCTTGCTCGTTATTTCTTCTTGGGTGCCTTCTCCTCACCACATCTTCCCTCGCGCGCTAAGAACTCGCACGCGCGCTAAGAACTCGCACGCGCGCTAAGAACTCGCACGCGTGCTTCCTACGCCTGTCGCCACATCCTCCAACTTGCACGTTTCCTCCCTCGCGCGTATTCTTCATACGCCCTCTCACCTACGTCTTTCACCCGCATCTCCGCCATTGCGTGTTCTTGCTCTGTCTCAATCTTTTCCCATCCCTTAAGCCCCTTACTCTTCACATTACAAGTTATACACCACACCATCACCTTATCCGCTCAATTCATTTAATAAATAGGGTACCTCTTCAATATCTGAATCCGATTCAGCGTCCTGTTGCGAGGGAATGTGAACTGCGACTTTGTGTGTCGGCTGAGTGGGTGGTTTGACTGCTTCTCTGTATAGAAAGCATATAGAAAAGAAAGAAAAATTGGCATAACGGCCGGTATGAAATAAACAAGTCATCAATAACATACATCACTTCTATGAAGTCTAACACCAAATTTTGACATCGTTGGAATTATTCCAAGAACGAATTCCCTCCCCTTCTTTCGAACCAATAGTTTCTGAAGTGAATCGTGAATTAGGGAAATAAGACTTGAGTGAACTTTGTGTGAACTGTTTACATGACGGGAGATGGGCTGGTTATTGGTTATTTAGGAATAAATTCGCGGCCTTCCAGTTCTTGTTGAACTCACTCCTCTGAATCCCAATTAGAGCCCTCTTCGTCTTCTTCTTCATCATCTTCTTCTTCCTCTTGTGATCCTTCAGTCTCGCTCACTTCCTCTTCAGACTCGCTCAGAGTTCGCTCTGTCACGGAAGTGCCAGTGAAGGACCGGTCCGTGACGGAAGTAACGCTAACTGTCATATCACCACTTGTTGATCTAGCGAAAACAAAGAGAAGCAATTCTAACTTTTACAAGAATTTTTTCACAGAGAGTACCTGTCAATCAAGGAAACAAATGCGTCGTTGATAGTGTCATCAGTCGTTGCTCGTCCAAATCTTACCCGGTAGATCCCAAGGTTCCCCTTGAAGCTGGCGACTTCCGGCCTTGCTGCAGTGAAGCGGAAGTACGGACGGCAGTTGCAGTAGACTTGAACGTGGGAGGTTTACCCGTAGGAGAACGGGAATCGGAACGTGGACCTGTGGGAACTACAACGGAAAGTAAACAAACACATAACTTTCCCGCCATGGGTCGCCAGTATTGTTGGGGTTCGTTTGACATCGTTAGTGTAGAAATTCATGGGCAGTTAACAAATTCACTCAAACCTGATGAGATTGGTTTCCCTGTAGGCGTTCCACTGTGGTAGGTCTTCCTCACAATTTCTTCCAATTCTTCAACACACCTTAGGAAATCAAAGTGTAAAAACTAAGCTCGCAACGCGTACAGAGAAATATCATAACATAAACTTAAGGATGATAAGTTCTCCCTCACCTTTGTCTTACTGCGGTGAAATTATTGTTTTTCTGGAGAAAAAGATGACAAAAACAACATGGGATATATGGTAAACTTAGGGAGAGAATACAAGGCCGTGAAGCAAAAGTAAAACAAAAACTAATGGGTCTCCATAGTAACCATTTCTACTCACCTTACTCCTCGCTTGTCTCTCTGTCCTCAGTGCCGCCATTTTGGCTTCCATTTTCTGCGAAGACAGTCCTGTATTTTCCTTTAACAAGAACCAAACCCATAATTTTAGAATCACCTCTTCGTCCATGATAAACCAAAGCTTCACTTTTGTTGGCGGAGTCTAAGCCTTGAACACTAAAAAAAAGTTTTACTTACCGAAGAAAGCCCCTGCTTAGAGAGTTTTTGGTCCAATATGTGAACAATCTCTTGTCTACACGCCTGTACTTCGTCGAATCTGTGATTAAATCGAGCTGGAAAAGAAAAAAAAAAAAGTCAAAGATGACGGTCGGTATGTCAGAAGTCGACCAGTTGCACTTACTACAAAAACACTGTTTATTTGAATTTCTGATTATTTTCCTGTTGGGTTGATGACTGTACAAACTTCAAAGACTCCACTCAATTGATTGGCTGAGACGAATTTGGAAAACAACAATAAGCGGTCGAATTAATTATGAAAATGTAGAAGCAAGTTGAATAACGTTTAATTCATGTAAGTTCTATAATTAACCGCATAATGTATATATATTTTAGTGCACAGTTGACCGAAAGAGTACAAGAACTTCTTACTTGTTATCAATCGATTATGAGGAATTGGATGGAACTCGCCTGCTTCTAAAGTTGTAGTACCCTATAAAAAAACGCAAATAAACAAAAGACAAAACGAAACAAAACAGAACAAACGAAACAAATGTTTTTGTTACTCTGTTACTAGAATCAATGCGATTAAGTTTCGAGAAAAAAAAAAGGAGGCTTCAAAAAAATACAACTTACCCACTCAGAGCTAGAAAGGCCTCTGTGGAAAGGAAGATTTTTTTCAAAACATCGCTTTCGATAACAAATTTATCGTAATAGTACGACTGAAGACACTTAAAAGTGAATGGCACGTTACAAAAAATGCAGGGCTATTGCATAGCTGCAATTACTGTACGTAGTTTTAAAGTACATTTGAATCGGTGTAATTACACATTTACCTTTCGCAGAAAAGAGGGGATACAGAATTTATAGCTATTGGAGTTGAAATCCATTGAAAATGGCCTCCAATTGGCACAGGTTTCTCAGTAACACTAAAGGTGAAGAGTATTTCAAACCGCTTGAAGCATTTTGTGCAGAGCGAAATTAAACCTGAATTGATGCGGTAGTAAACACTCCCTGTAAATGATCGAATCATCAGTCTTCTTTGCGTTTCATAAAGATGTGAACAAGAAAATAAAAAAGGGGCAATTTTTAATCAGAGATTGCACTGGTTTTGCTCTCCTTCGTTCTGTGATTGGTCCAGAAAACTCATGCCACTCTATCAACCAATCAGATGCAAAACTTACACCAATCACGACTTGGTCGCCCGCGATTTAGACAGTTTGGTCGGTTTTGAGTTTTCATCGGTCGGTTTCATTGGCTTTTGAAGGTATTATCCTTTCTTTTGATTGGCCGTTGTGGTTATTTTGGATTTGGTGTTACGACACTCATCGAAATGCGCTCTAAAAAGGGGATTCCTTCGCGGACGTGTTGCGCACTAAAGTTCCGATGATGAGCTTACAAAAGTATTAACAAGCCAGAAAAGGAGACTTACGAGGTGATCTCTTTGATGTCTTCGAGACTTCCCGTGCTCTCATTTGCATCAACATCTTCGACTTCACTTTAGAAAATAAAAGCATTAAGTGCATTGAGAACAAGCCTCTAGACTAGTTTTCAGGGTGGATCCGATGTAACGTTAAGGAGTGAAAAAAAGAGTGAAAGACAATTTATATGTAAGCTACCGAGCAGTGCTTCCATGTGGTAGTGTTTATGTTGCACATGTGCACATTGGCTCCAACCTTTTATGTCAGTGGATGAAAATCAAGTGTGTGATGCTTCGTATAAAAGCTATTCAGCAATAGTCCCGTGTGGCTCTGTTTACTACAAGGTGCGAGGTGTTATTATAGTTTCCGCAGGTTTTGAAATCTAGAATTATTTATACTTACACTTTTGGTTGAACAGGAGCTGGAGACTCTTCTTCCGAATCTGATTCACTTGGTTCAGAGTCTGCAAGAAACAGTAAACATTTCAGGCGAGAATCAATGATATGGTTTTGGAAAAGGAATGACGGCGTAGTACATCAACCTTAGAAAGAACGAAAAATTCATCACAGCATAGTACAGCAAAGCAAAAACAAAAAAAATTAGAAACGTATGGGTTAAGTCACACTAGTTGTGATTTAGCGATGGTTAAATAATAAAAACAGGCTGAAACACAAGCAAAGAGAGTGTTGAAAGGGAACTCTATTCTTTACCTAGCTCTTTTATTTGACTTCCATGAAAATATTTAAAGGAAAGAGAAAATACAAACCTTGCTCTTTATCTTCCGTCAAAGTAGATTCAAATGATGCAGAAATGCTTGTCTCTGAAAAGAGAGAGAATTACCAATATTTTTAACAAGATTATTCTAGCTGCTAACTGATGGTAAGCCTCTTTATTTCTGATAGATATCTTGGAATATCTGAACGTACATACCCTTGAGTTATGCGCAAAATAGCCTTAAATTCCGAGAATAACGGCTCATCTCGAACTTGACTCTTCCACTACTTGGTCAACCGCGTTTTCCCGGGCCTTGACCGTTAACCTGCTTCTAGTCTGAATTCTTATTGGTTCCTTACGATTTTCCTTTGTTCTAATTGGCTGATGTGATTTCCAGAGTGGATACCCTCTGATCGAGACTTGGTCACCGCGCTTTCCCGCGCTTGGACCGCTTACTTGTTCCTTCTTTGTAATCTTATCGGCTACTTGCCCTACTTTCCTATGTTCTGACTGGCCGATGTGAAAACCTTATTTAGGTTTGCTTTCGCGACGCTCAATCGAAAAGAAAGCGCACTCCTAAGTGAACTCGAAGAAAAAAGAAATAAGCAAACTTCCTGAAATGACCAAGAAGTGATTGGTTCTACTTTTGCATAGGTCGCGAAGATGGCGCAAATTTACGTCTAAAAACACTTTGAGCTGCTTCCATTTAACCATATATCAGTAGTTCCCAATACTCACGCATTTTGTCACCGACCAGAGTTGATTTTGGAGCATAAAATGACAATCCGTTATGCCTCCATCCCGGGAGGTTCTTGTTCCGGGAAACATACGATCTTATCACAGGAATACTTCCGGCCTCTAACACGTGATGCTGCAGAGTCCCAGGGAGGAATGTCTGAGAACAATAGAACATGTAATCCAGACGATACTCCGGGCTGGGGGGCGACGATTTATCCGACATATATTGCCGCCAATAAGGGGATCCCCCTGCCGCAAACACGTACACCGGGTACGTGAAGTTCCCAGTGGGTTTTATGAAGGCGGAGAGGCCGTACATCTTGGACCATTCGTTAGATCCATCAGCTGAATGGCGCCATAAGCGATACTGGCCGGCCTTCTTTTGGTTAGTCGATACATAGAGCGTCATAGATTCTGCTGCTAAAGAATACATACAAAAATATGTTAGTCTCTTTCAATATCCATCTTAGGAACTATTGTAAGGGTAAGTGCTCTTAAATTCGCGACAACCTTTGCAGCAGAAATTGAACGGTCAGTTTATCTTAATTGTTACATTATAACAAGCAAGAAAATAAAATCATCGAAGCACTCTCTATTAGAAACTCTTAAATTTCAGAAAAAAAAAAAGAGAAAATTCATTTCCGTGTTCGGCAGGACTTGCGGGGCCAAAAAATTCCAACCTGAGATTTCTACCGATGAGCTCTTTCACTAAAAGATAATCTAATACCAGGTCAAATGATTCACCAAACGTAAATAGTTCAAAAGAGAGCGCTGATAAAGCTCCGATAGGAAAAACGAAATATCCTGCCACACGAAGCCAAAATGTAGATGCCGCTATGATTTCGTGAATTTGAAGAACATTCGCTTCAGCAAGGATGACCAAACGCTAAAATGCTGCACAGTACCTGTCTTGATACTTTTCTCGGGAGAAGTGGCGCGCTCTCTCTCTGGTGGTTCAGCTGGTGACAACACAATAACAGACAGTCACAATATTGAATAGAACTGAGAGACGCACTGTCGTAGTGGGGATCGCCCTGGACTCCAAATTGAGCGATGGCTTATTCATGTATTTTTTTTACTCTGACGCGCGCGAAATTTGCGTTTTAATTGGGCGCAATATGGTGGACTTCCACGCATGAAACGCGCATGTAATGCTGCTATTTCTGCGGCCAGTACTGTAGTTTAAATTTGTACTTGGGCCAGACACTGCTTTTAATAGTTAAGCCTCAAAAAGTTCACTTGCTACATGAGAATCCATAAGAAATTTACAGCGTTCCCTCTCTCTATGGGACATAATAGGGACCTTAAGCAATCAGGACGGCAACGCCAAGGAAGACTTCGATTAAAAAAATGAATTTCTACTCTTAGTTAGAATTTCAAAAATGGCTGCATGAGCTTACTGTCTCATACGGCGCCACAGCTCAACTTCAACATGACGTATAAAGGTAGCGTTGAGTTCGAAATGGAAATTAAAATCATTTGCCGTCGCGGTTTCGGTTCGCAGACGACGCAAATTTTGGTGATTTCACGTTGTTGTTTTGCATAGGACGGCTAAGAAATGTACAAAGTTTCAACTGAAATGCACGTGCTGAGCTATTGTTCTGCCAATGAGATCTCTTGTTTTTCCACGTCCTCGTTGCCGTCGCCGTCGCCGTCGTGGTTGCTTAAGGTCCCTAATATGCGAGTGATGGGGGTGGAGGGGTTCCCCCGTGAAGTCAGGCTAGAGGAACGACTTCTTAAATTATTTTTTGTAAATCAAACCTTGCACGGGAAGCTCGATGTATCTTGGAGCGGGCACAGGAGGAACAGACGCTGTAGATGAAAAAGTATCGGAATTTGATTATGAGTTTGCTATGTTCGTATACGTAATCACGTGATTTCGAGTGCAATTTGGAATAAATAAGCACGAGTAAAGTTTTTCAAAGACTAACAAAATTGCATGAGCTCGTAGGGCGAGTGCAATTTGTGGTCTTTGAAAAAATTTACAAGTGCTTATTTATTCCATATTGCACGAAAAAATCATGTGATTATGTATTAATAATATACATGAAAAAAATACGAGGTAGCTTCTCATAACTACGCAGAAGAAAAGCGCGCGCATCACGTGCAAAAATAATTTATTCAAACCCTGCAAGTGACATTGACCTTGACATTGACCAATCATTCTGACCAATCAGAATGTCCAGTTTGTTTCTTTCTTTGCACTGAATTAACCCTGATATGATGAATATATGAAGTTCATATATTTTGAACTGCGGTTTTTGATACGTATGATGCACGATCCTCGTAGTAGAGAGGATATATGAGAATATATGAACTTCATATATTCATATCTGATTTATCATCACGGGTTTATAACGAATCAACTTAACGGCCTGCTCCCAGTTGGCTTGTTAGCTCAATTGGTAGAGCGCTGCACTAGTATCGCAGAGGTCAGGGGTTCGAACCCCGTACAGGCCTGATTTTTTTCAGGTCTGATTTTCGCTATTGCATAAATAGCGCTCTCTACTGCGAGGATCGTACATCATACGTGAATTAACGCTCTTCTGCACTGAATTAACTGAAAACTGGATTCATCTTAACCAATCAGAACTCCGAAATTTTATGTATATTATTAATGGAGAAACAATGGCCTGTGACGTACAGTAAACCACTGCACGAATCAGTTTACAAATCAGACAGTATTATGCAGAGAAAAGATAATTAATAAAGTGTTTAAGTTTGTTTTGACTGGATGAAATACGTTGTGAACGTACCAAGTAATGCACGCGGTTGGGTTTTGAAAGAATACTGGACTTTTTCTGTCTCCACCTGTAGGTCGAAAATATAACACAAAATTAAATAAAATGCTATATTTTAATTCAAAGGTAGCTTAAAGAGCTCCCCTTTACGTCAGAGAAACTTGATGCAAAAAATAATTGGGGCACTGGAAATGAACTCTGTTGATCTCAAGTTAAAATCCTTTACCCTGCTCTGCAATGGATTTGTTCCCAGTCTCAGCAAATTCAACTCCTTGGCTGCGTTCCGTGAACGGCTAACTCTTTTACCTCCTGTCGGTTGGGAGTATTAACAACCTACGTTTATTTGGAATATTTGTTTCATTGTTTGTTTACATTGGCCCTATGAGGCTCACCTTTTGCGCGTCCAGTGTATTGCTGAGCTCTTGAACTTGCTAAAAAAATATGATTTTAAATAAGTAAGTTTAAAACACAACCGCAGACCGAAGGCCGTAATCTTGACAGATCTCTGGTAAATGACATTGCACATTTTAAACGACCTTCAATTAAGGACACTACAAAGACAAAAACAACACAAAAGAGGCACTAAGAAACCAAGACGCAACAACGATGGCTCAGGGTGAAGAAGATTACGATACATTTCAAACGGACACCTTGAAAATAGCAACCTTGAAAAATTAAGATTATATTTTAAAACGGTGGATAACAGTTAGGGCCCAGTTGCATAAAGGATGGATAACGCTATCCAAAGGATAAATCGCAATCCGGCGGATAAGTGATAGAAAAACCTATAGCGTTATTCACAGGATAGAGTTTTATCCAGTGGACAGCGTTATCCAACCTTCGAAGAACCGGGGCAAGGTATTTGTGATACGAGTAAGTTTCTGACCCTTGTCAATCTCTCAATTCTGTTCTCATAGTCCTCGGACATCCGTTTCTTCTCTATTCTTTCATTCTGTAGATTCTCTTCATACTGCCCCATCATTTCCTGAAACTGAAGGTACAGGAAGACATGTTGAATCGTCATTAAAAATATCCTAGTGTTGATTTTTTTTTTTTAATTTACTGGCTTGTCAAACACCATTGCCATGTTGCCTAAACAGTTGATCAGAACTCTTTTAATTTTTCTGCAGGGGTGAACCACACCCCCCTCCCCTGCCCCTCATTCTTCTAACTAAGGGAAGGTGTAGTGACGCATTTCAAAATCTTGATTCAATAAACAACACAGGATACCCAACCTGACACCTTTAAGCTGCCACAAATAAGGCAAAAGTTTGTAGCCACACCCAGTTGTGTAATATCTGTCCCATTTCTCCTTGTGTTCTTCACAGGAAACCCAACATAACACCCTTAACCATATCAAAAGCAAAAGTTTGTAGCCACACCCAGTTGTGTAATACCTGTCCCATTTCTTCTCTGTGTTCCTTCTTCGATTTGTCTTCCCGGGCCTTAAATTTTTGCTGCATTTTTTGCATTTCTTTCTGAAAGTTCTGTTGTGTTTCTGTCTGCATCTGGATAACCTGAAAAGGAAATTTCAAAAATATTCTCGCAGTATACCAGTTAAAATTATTTCCAGTGTGTTAATCTTGGAGGATCCTGATTGAAGACCCTGCGGCCCTACCCACTAGAGCTTTTCCCAGATTTTCCAGGAACCACAGGGTGTTTAGCTAATCTCCTTAGAAGGAATATATATTGATAAAAGTTCATACTTCAGCACTTCCCCAATGTCAATGGTTGTAGGTGGAGACAGGAAATGTGAAAGTCAAGTGTTCTGCCCAAGAACACTGTGAACACAGTGGACCCAGGTTAAACTTGCCCACAAATCTCCCAATCTAAGAGCTAATGAGCCAACCATAAGGCTGTCAAAACTCACCACCAATCCAGCCCAGAAAAACAAACCTCCCACTGACCTTATCTTCCAACTGCGCCATAAACTGTTGTGACATTTCACCTCTGTTGGCCTTTGCTGGAGAATCAGTCTCATCTTCATCCTTAAACGAAAAAAGAAACATGCAGGTAAGCTTGTAAATAGCGAATAAAAATCTCTAGAAATATACTGCTAGTTTTCAGTTAAAAAAAAAAGGAAAGAAATTGGAAGTCATGGTGATATGCTGGTAACTGATAAGAAGGAATAATTAATTTTTAGTTGTATGCTTAGTTTTTAGGCCTTTTGAGGCTGTTATGATGGAGACAACCATAAGAACAGATCAATTAGTCATTTGAATGAAGCTTAATTGGCTTAATTAACTCTAACATAGCAGAAGGAGTTGAAAACTTACAATTATTGACCCAATCATTGATATCCTCTTTTCTAAAGAGAAGAATGTACAAGATCATTGTCCAAATACATACATGTAACCAATACATGGAACTAATTAAAATTTATATGAAAAATACTCAATCGAGATTGGATAACAACAATGCAGTTGGAATAAAAATAGGTTTAGTGAAAACATCATGCTTAAATTTGAACAGTGGAATTGAACAGGGAATGCATCATGCATGTGTAATTGGAGGGTGACTATAATTTGCTCCTGCTGTCAATTAGATTAACAGCATCTTACAAAGTAAGTACAATAACTGAGTTTTTCCCTCTACTCACCACTATTCAGTTGCTCTTGTAATGCAGTCACTCTCTATAAAATGTAAAGCAGAAGAGAACCACTGGTCAAATTTAAATCATTTGATGAAATGTAACTACGACCACAAAAACTAAAATTTTATGAAAAATTCTTAATTTGTTGTTCATATTTCCACATAAATATGTACTAAGAGACTCACATTTGAAAACATATCTCTCTCCTCCCTCATGCTATTTATGTCCTGCATGAACGTCCTTTTGAGTTCTGCAATTTCTCGCTGCAAGAGAACATCACATTTTAATAGTATAACTGTTACTGCCTGTCACTGACCAAATACCTCTCTCCCCTTTTCATCTACCCTCCCAACCCACTCAAGTCCCACCCCTCCCCTGCCAAGACAGTAGACATGAGGTAGAAATATCGGCGAAACAGGCAGAAGACTAGGCCACCGATTCAGAGAACACCTTCGCGACGTGGAAAGAAATGACAAGGACACATCGAAATCAGTCGCTAGACACTTTAATTTACCTAACCATTCGAAGCAACATATGGCAATCTGCGGTCTTTCCTTACACTTAGGTAGCAGAAAGCCATAAAACTCTTGAACAAAAGCTCATCTTTCAAACCGGCAGTCTAAATCCCACAGGGATCAA